GACCAACTAAAAATATATATACAAAAAATTAGCCAGGCATGGTGGCTCATGCCTGTAGTTCCAGCTACTCGGGAGGCTGAGGCAGGAGGATCGCTGAGCCCTGGAGATTGAGGTTGCTGTGAGCCAGGCTGACGCCACGGCACTCACTCTAGCCTGGGCAACAAAGTGAGACTCTGTCTCAAAAAAAAAATCTAACAGGTAAGAAACTACATGCATAAACATATAGCAACAAAGAGTCAAATAAATTTTCTATCTATTATGGTTCTACCCGTCCCCAGTTTTCTCCAGCAAATTCGATTTGTGGGAAGAAAAATGGGGTGATGTTTTTCAAATCTGGTTTCAGTTCGGTTTTTCTTTTCAGCAAAATGCAGTCAGTTGCTTTCAAGTTATGGAAACAGAAAGACACCCTATTTCTGGATCTCTATAGAGACTTTCTCACATGAATAATTCAGAAGGAGCTCATTTGAGACGTTTCAAACATAGTCTGTGGCTATCTCCAAGAAGAATAGTTATCGTTTTCAAGAAAAATTTTAAAAATTAATGAAGCCATGAACAGTGTGATTAAAATGCGTTAGAAAAGAAGATAGAGGAATTCAGTAGCAGAATGGACCTCTATTTTTTTCCTGCCTTACTTATAAATTCAGTTGTAATGGCAACAAGCTCTAGCCATGATATTTGTTTCTTTACACCTCTCCAAGGTGTCCAGGTGGCTTAAATGTGCTTTGGATGGAATCATCGCCTCAAGGAATCATTTCCCACATAGAACATGAACTTGACCTCCCCAGGCCTGCTCCGTAACTGATGGGAGGTGGAACATGCCAAATCAGTTTGACCTTTTTTTTTTTTTTTTTTTTTGAAAATGACAAAAGTCCTGCCACTCATACTGGCTTAAAACAAACAACAACAACAACACTGATTGGGTTAGAAATATCCTGGAGTAGATCCAGCTTCAAATGAGGCTGGAATCAGGGTTCAGATGATGTCACCACAATTGATTTTCTTCCCCAAGATCCCAGGTTTGGTTCTTCTGGGTGGCTCCATGCTCAATCTAGCTCCCTTAACATCACAGAAATGTTGCTAAAGATCTGCACCTCACGATATCACATCACGCTGTCTAGAGGAAGAGTCAAATATTTCCTCTTGTAGTGTCCACGGAAGATGGGAAGTCTCTCATTCCAGAACTTTCACCCGAAGTCTAACTTATGTACATAACCTGAATCAATGTCTATGGCCAGCAATGTGCTGTGCTTATTTGCCTGGGCATGAGTTACATCCTCTGTCCCCGTGGCTGGGGGTTAGAACTCCCCCT